ACTCACAAAAGGGATAAGGAATTGTGAAAAATCTTCTTTTTTTATAGTTTATATCAATTGATATCACTGCATACAAAATACTGTAAATATTCTTATCAGCTTTGTGGACTCTCCGAGAAGATAACTCTAGTTGAAAACCCCAGACGCAGAGAGGAATAAGATTCTACGGAAATATCGAAACAAAGGTGCTAGAAATATATAAAAATAGGTTTTTTACTTTTTGTTATTAAGAATATAGACCCACAAAAGTACTGGTCTAGGTCTCAAAAAAAGGACGTTCGATATGCTCGCGGGCAATTCAGAGCATTTACACCTAGCCCGGAGCTTCTATGACCACTAAAACGCCACATAAGAGGCATAAAGACCTTCAAGATCGCCCACCTTATATCAAACAGGATTTGAAAATTACTTCAACCAAAATTTTGGTCTAAACCCACCTTTTACACATCCCTTTAAAGATATATCTCCAAAAATCATTTTTCGTGAAAAATGTCGAAATGTATCCTATCCTTAATTCTAATATTCTCATAAATTCTATAAAATCGAAAATGCATAACTAATTTTCCCGATTGGGCGTGATGTAATCTGATTGGTTGAGCCAACTGTTTATAATATTGTATTAGCCAATCAGTGAGCTAGCTTCAGACTAGCTAATAAATATAACGATTTACCTTGTTGAAGCTGGAAACTGGAGAAAAATCAGTCGATGAAACACAGTTGAAATATAACGAATATTTTCCTCGTTTAAACCATTTCCTTAATTTTTTTTCATTTGGAAATTATCCTATTTCTAAGGTAAGAGAAAGATTTTTTATCATATTTTTAGGTTAAAAACTCAAATTGCAGCGTTTATTGTTAAAATTGACTCATTTATTTCTATCGATTCCAAATTATGCATTTTCCTTTTGACGAATGTGCACATTGAGCACTGCTATGCCGACATAATTTTGTGTTTAAGAGACTCGTGCAATTGTGGAGTCTCCAAAGGACTAAAATTTGTGGAATTCAGAATTTGTCTTCGTCATACAAAATGTCTGCCCATTAGTCTCATAGACAATGGCTGCAAATTTATACCATTTCGTTTTCAAATTGCCATCTCGAAAATTTATTTAATTTTGAAAAAAATGTCTTCCCTGAAATTAGTTTACCAATTATTTTTTTTGCAAATATTTTGAGATGTTTGGCGAACCATTTAATGGAATGAAATTTCGGTTTGTTCTAGAAAACTAGATTAAATACAAAATGTCTGCCGAACCAGGGTTCGCCTGCTGAGCAAAATATAAACAGAAACCGTATTACGATTTTGTGTCCAATTTTGTTAGTAAAAATGATTCTAAAAGAATCATTTTTTTAATTCTGTGTTGTATTTTGACAATTTTTGGAAATTTCTGGTCACGATTTTAAGGGAAAATATGGTATTTTTGAGAACAAAATGTTCTATTTGTCATTGTTTGATGCGGACTGATCAATAAAACATAGCAGGTGATCTTACTGCCGAGCTGAAAACTCGCTTTGTCTCCTGTAAAATCTAAAAAAAATATAGGACAAAATAGTTTTTAAACATATTTTGAAGCAACGTCAACCAAATGAAAATTGCCTTCCTTTTTTTCTGTTGGTTTGTTGATTTTAGTTCAAAATCTCATGATCTTTTCAGTTAATTCTCCCCTCCAAGCGAGGTAGGTCATGGAAAGGCTGGCATGGAAAACACCAGACGTCAAAATTATGCACAAAACCAATAGCTATATTTTTTCAACTCCTTCGTCGATATCATGTAAGACTATCATTCCAAAAATTACGTGCCTAATGAAACCTTTCTGATTTTATACGCCGTGCCCCCTTCTCCATAATGCCTACCAAATCAAGTTCTTTTTAGAGATTTTTAGGGTCCAATAGCAAACCATACAACCATCATTCCCCTTCGAAATTAACATTTAGTAATGGATCGCATGCCTACAAATAAATTGCGGTCAGCTTGCCCCAATTTTGGTCACTCACGCCTTCTTTTTATCGCTAGTATTATTTGTGAATTTTTGTTATCTATGAATTATAATGATATGATTGATATATTTTGATAAGCCGTCTATTGTTTTATACTACATTTCATATTTAGCCCTCGAGCTAAAACAATACAGGCTATACAGTGAATATTCATCGTTCTTTGTTTTTACTCAATGATTTAAGTAGAATTACTGAACCATCATAATTATAATGTTCATTATTTAACAATCGGAACATTTAGCTAGCAGAATGTTGCTCTGGTAGTTTTCTGTAGTCAGATTTTGGACCAGAGCATACAAGACTTTCGTTTTCCAACATTTAGCGAGCAGACTGTCGCAATAGTAGTAGTCTTTGGTCAGAAATGGACCAGAGCATACTAAACTAATAGCTGTCGTGTCCAACTATATAGCTAGCTAGCAGATTCCATTGTATAATGACAATATTCTGCGGTCAGAGCACAAGATTGTTAGTTTTCAATGGCCAGAATGGGATAAGAGTTTACAAAATTATCATGTTAAACTTGCTTGCAAATTGCTTCGAACAATTTGTCTGTGGTCAGACTAAGTCTAGAGCATAACCAACTATCGTGTCCAGTCTTTGAGGACATACCGAATACCCTACCTATGCAACTAATGTTAGTAAACTGTTAGTTAGAATAAGTCTAGAGCATAACATTCGTTAGAGTGCAGATATCTGCTGTCAGAATATCGAAATAAGGCCAAACATTTAGCTATATTATCAACTGAAACTTACACTTCCGGTTGATATTACTATACGAATATATAAAAAAAATATTAATCTAGGCTAAAGTTCAACCTGTATTTAACAACTTTTAAACTGTGTTTAAATATGATGATATTGAGACCTTTGTTTGAATCGACACGAATATAAAAGTTTATTCTGTTAAAAGGTTTCGGTGTGTTTCGATTGTATTGATATAATATTAATGAATTTTTTTCAAATGTCGGTAATGAGTTAATTAAAATTCCATTTTTCAATTAGGTACTAATAATAGAAGTAAATCAATTATATATGTTGGTTACGAGAATACAAGAGTAAAACGATGAATCACCGTTTCCTTATTATTTTACTTTTGTACCGGTTTCAGATTCATGGCGGTTTCAGAATGACTCAACTGGTTTTAAATTGACGCAGGTTTCAGAATGCTCTTATTGTTTTATATTTTTTTCCAAATTAGTTTTCCTAGAAAAAATTTTTTAAAACTCTAAAATGCACCATCCTCAACATCGACATTTCATTGCTTCAAAGCTTAATTGCACACTGCTTGGCGTTAACCGGTCTTCATTAGTCTAATCAGGAACAGAAAATCAGGAAACCAAACTCTTTTTCATTCTAATATCTTATATAGAAAAAATAAGGAATCAAAAGGACCACCACCATACGATGAAGAGAAGATGAAACATTTTTTATAATATAAAGCTATTTAATAGTCGTATCCACTGTATCTTTATATACAAAACACTCTATAAATCTGATAATGTACCTATCTCATCACGCCAGATTAAATCAGAAATAACTGAAGGCATTAAAAAGGGTGATCTATAAATTATGTTCTGGTTGACAAATCTTATAAGAAGATATATTTTTACTTTTATTTTGAGCAACACGTGTGGATTTCTGGAGTTATCGGTCGATTTCACCTATTTTAAGAGATAAAGTTGGATTGATTTTCGGTTAATTTGGCAAAAAAGGTCAAATTTAGCCATCTTTACCACTTTTTAGAATTGAATTATGACTTACAGTTCGTCTGCGATTAAATTTTTTGTTTCTGTGGCACAATTAGCTATAAAATAGTGGCGACGCCATCCTCCCGAAACTTGCGGTGAAAAAAATAGGAAAAACTGAATTGACGGGGGAACCACCGTCAAGGTTGAAATTCAAAATGTATTAGCTCTGTTGCATCACCATAGGCGCAAGCCTCCCATGGAGCGTCTGAGAGTGCCCCGCCCCCCTCACCAAAGATATGTTTTCGAAAAATAGAACTTTCTGACACATATTCGGGGCAAACAAGTATTAAAAAATGATATTTCAAAATTTGTTAGAAATGGATTGGGGATACAAACAATTTTTCTAAGCGCCACAACTGTTGCAACTTATTTTTACTTTCTAACATATAACTTAGAATACACGTGCGTTATAATTGATTAAAGATTAGCGGTATAGATGTATATTTCAGTCTGCAGGCCAAATAAACCTTTCGACAACATCTGGACTTACTTTCTATCTAGTCGATATAAATAGATTTTTACAATAACAAAATATTTTAACTTCTCACTTTTATTTTTTACCTTGTTTTGTTCGAAGTTAAAATCTATTTTAACCAGTTTTACGTCAAACCTCATTGCTCCAGATGAGGTAATGAATAGGGGCCATGCAGTGTGCAATGGACGAAAATGCCCAACCACATCACCCTTTCTTTTATTCCAACAGTCGACGGATCTTGAAAGGTACAGTCTATAAGACACAGGGCCCCGATGAAACACACAGATAATTATGAGTATTTTTAAACCAACGACTCACTCGAAAAAATTTGAGTTATTTTAGGCCGATCGGATATAATACTTGATGTCAAGGGGAGGTAATCCGTACTGAATACACAGATTAAGATTGACTGTAATTCTATCTGTATGAGAAATAGTGCTATCCTATCGTTTTTTTTTAATCAGATCACATTCTCGCTATATCGTTCAGCTTAAATACGATAATTTGATATCAAGGTCTGAACAATAGGTTTTGAATAACATTGAGATTTTCACTTTTTAGCGAACCAAGGGATAACAAATATCTGATTAAAAATCTCTCAATAGCAGGTTGGCCCAAACGTAGCGCCATAAGTCACTACCGGTTGTTTGAGTCGATTTTTACACAAATAGAACGTACTGGAACAATTAGATATGTCATTCACAAACTTTCCTTCACCCCTCCGACATTTTAAAAGCACAATTATATTTGACTCCATTTTCTCTTTTTCAGAATCCAAGATGGCGGATAAAATGGCGCGAAGACGTTTGAATCCCAAGAAAGTAGATAAAAGTGTGATAGATTTACAAGAAATTATTGAGAAGTATATCTGGTCTACAGCCTACTCTAATGAAGTTGGGAAGATGAAAGCCTTCTTTACGCCCAAAAAACTTTATGATGTGGATATCAAGTGGACATTCTTAGACATTAAGCACTCGACACGAGAAAAAATTCGAAATGACGGCACGGATTACGTGGTAACAAACGATAAACGACGAATTAAAGATCATTCTAAAGTTCTAGGGAAACCAGTATCGTTGCAAAAGTCGCATTATGAAAATGACACTAAAAAGTCACAAAAATTTGCATTTAGTTGCAAACGTCAGACGAAAGCGTCGACGTCATTTTCGTTTCAGGAGACGTATTCGATTGGGGGCGAGGTCAAAGTGGAGGTCAAAGTTCCCGGTGATATTTGTTCTGTGAGTGCCGGGTCAGATGGAAGGTTTACCATCACCGAAGGGGAGACGCAGACATTTGAGGACACCCTGGCCTGGGACGTGAACTCGGAAATTATTGTAAAGCCGGGAGAAATGATGGACGCTAATCTATTGGTGCGTGAAAAAACGACCGTAGCCGATTTGACGGTGACGTCTGAAATTAAAATGAAGGAAGGAAAATTACCGTACGTCATCAGACGAAAATCCGACAGAACAATTATGCTTGTGGGAGAACTGACGAACCTCGAAGCACCATTCAGGATCCATCCTTTATTCAAGGACAAGAAAAGGATGATGTTCAAAAACGATGGACAGTTAATGATCCTTAAATCTCGTGGCACGTGCAAATCAGTGTCGTGGCTTCAACAAGATATCGACATCCACTCAAGTAAATCTAAAAAGAAAAGCGACACCTCCGACAAAGACAATGGCGAACCCATGACTAAAGATGATGATGATGATGATGATGATGAGGCCATTACGGCAGCTCCTGATGGTGGCGATGATGATGATGGCGACGACGATGATGATGATGATGATGATGACGATGAAAGTGATGAAGATAAAGACGAGGATAATGATGAAGATGGTGATGGCAATGATGGAGAATGATCTATTATTTATGAGACAATGTAAATACTGTGCTATGCTACACTATGCGCATGCATTTTGATACATAAAGAAACAATTTAAAAACTGTACTATGCTATGAACGTGTATTTTTATACGTAAGAAACGTGTGTATAGACGTGTGCAGCTATGCGGGTGCATTTTGATGCAAACAGAAGCATATATGTATGAGTATGTATTACGCTTTGTACGTGAATTTTGATGCAAAAAGCGACAGTAAAAAAACTGTGCCATGCTACTTTATGCGCGTACATTTTGATACATAAAGAGACAATGTAAAAAACAAACATATGTAAAAAAAAAAACGTGCTATGCTATTTACATGCATTTTTATTCATAGGAATTTTATGTAAAGGTGTGTATAGCTATGCTATGTGCTATATTTTGATACATGAAGAGACATGAATCATGAGTATATGAAGCTAAGCTAAGTAAGTGCATGTATAGAGCTATATTTTAAGCTTGTATTATGCTTTAAGCGCGCATGTGCATTTGGAGCAATTGGAGACATATGTATAAGCTCATATAAAGCTATGTTGTGCTATAAGCGGTCATTTATATACATTCAAAGACAAATGTTTGAGCGCGGTTTAAGCCGATATCTTATAAGTCTTATAAGTGATCTGGATAGTCCAAATTGACGCTGGTGAAGCAAATATATAGACGATTGTATCCCTTTGATATTTATATTCTTTTGTATGTGTTTATTGTTTGCCATACTCTATGTTTCACTATAATGATTTTTATAAGCCTACCGTATACAGATGTCTTTCAAAATAAATCTGGATTTCTAAAAGACATATAAATAGTATTTTAAGAAGCAGCCTAGACTAAAACTTCAAGCCCCATCTGTACCATAAATTTTTTCTTGTAAAAACTCGCAAAACTTAGAATTCGAAATACGAGGCTAATACAATTTTATTAAAATAATCTCAAACTGTATTGCTTAGCCCGCCCCCAGTGGTTCAAATCTAAAGAAGAAAAACAGAAATAAGACTTTAAGCGTCAATTCATTTCCGTCCCATAGATTTCTTCCATCTCCCAACTGTTTTGATACGTCAAGGTTGTACAACCTTTGAGAATATGGGAAGATCAAGGGTGAATGTCGTCATATCAAGATGGCACCTGTACTGCAGTAAAGCAGAAATTGAAGTAAAAAAGCTCATTCTTCGAAGAGCTAGCCTACACCTTCGGAGTATAATGAAATTGAACTGATTTGTAGGTTCGTTAGCGTTTAAGGAGAATTACTAGATAAAGGACATGCTTTCTAAAATGAATCAACATATGGACATGAACTCTGATAAAGGTGCTCTTTTAATGCGTAGAATACTTTGTAGTCTGTATTTAATTATTTCTTCGAAGATTACCTCCCCTCCTTGACAATCAGAGCCGTATATATACGGCTCTGTTGACAATTCCAGTAGTTATTTGTGGTTTGTCGTCTTTGAAACTTAATTTGAGTTGCCTCCCCTGACATAGGAAATCCATCTGTCAAAATGGCTGCCCACGGATCTCAGGTTTTGATGAATTTCAATGTTATGAGCACGATTTACTTGCATTGTTATAATTTAGACGTTGCATGTCTCAAACCAGGTAGTTTCTTTACTAACATTGTATCAAAATTATTTTTTCTAACTGCTTTTTACACTAAACAGCAGAAAATTACCCAAACTTCCGAAGTTTTGACTTTTATGGTGTATGTAAACTGCTTGTAAACTTGCCAATTTACTCTCTTTTCACCAGTGGGTGCCCTGGACAGTTATGAAAACTACCGGTAGGCCTACGTGACGGTGAATTTTGCAGTAGCTGCTGAAGAACTGGACAAATTGCCATTCTTTTACATACAAAATAAATAGACACGAAAATGATTATGGTGTATGTAAACTGCTGTCTTGCCAGCAGGAGACTGTGGATTTGTATCTGGAATGTACCCTGATGTATCGAACTCTCTGTAGTGATTATATCATAGAATGTTACTTTGTGTCATCAAACAAATTGAATGGTTTTAAGTTTAGGCCTACAGGTTGCATGCCTTCTTAATGACTGTCTGATCTGTTTTTGCATGCATTGTAGCAGAACCAAGTAGCCTTATTAGGCTTAATTCAGTATGAACAATATATCTAGATCTGTATTTTGATCAGATCAAATGTTTTACCAGCAATAAACGTTAACCAATTTTTTATTTGACAGATGATCCACAGTGGTGGAATGATGCCTGCAATGAGCACCTTATCAATGAGGGAGAAGTCTCAGCTGAAACGCCGGATTAATCGTGAACATAACTGTAATTTCCGAGCTGGATATATAGAAGTGAATGAAGAATATCTACATAAGACTGGAATCAGGGGACGGAAGAGATATCTTCTTTACTGTGTAGTTTTCACTCTTATTTTTCTGGCTTTAGTCAATGCATTGGTGAGTGTCTTCTATTTTTTATTATTTGCCCCTTATGAAGGGATATAATTGTTAACATTTCGCTTTGATTTATAACATTTGAGAATTTTGGAATCAGTAGCTCTAAATGGTATCTGGTATTTAACGAGTCATCTTTCCTCATCGTTACAGTCAACCCAGCTGTAATATGGGTAGAATTATAACCAAGAGTTTGGCTAAGGACATAATGGTATACAAAACCAAGTTGTTATCCTTGTAAAATCATTGCCAAACAGTTTACCTAAGAACCAGCTGATATACAGGAACTTTGAGAATCTAAATTTTGTTTACCTTTGTAAAATCATTGCTGAGTAGTTTCCTCAAAGACCTAAGATGAAGACGATTTCTTAGAAAAAAGGATTTTCCTTTCTTTTTCCTATTGATTAGCTTGACTCATCTTCTAATCTTTCAAGGCGACTGCTGGATTGGTATATTTTCTTGGAATCAGTCATCTTGGAATTAATGACCTGGAATTTCTGTTAAAAGATGATTTGCTACGAGTGTTTGCTGATACCGAGATTACCAAGATTAAGATGTTTGATGCTGGGGTCGGAGGTCGATTTGACAAAAACCTGAAGATAGTTGGCATGGAAGGCTCGGTCAGTAAAGAGACACAATTCACTAAATAATTTGTTTTCCTACCCCTCTTCCCCCTATGAATTTTTTTTTTTGTTATTTTCTCGTAGGTTTTCTTGCAATCATATTGAAGAATATAGCCTGACTGATTAGAACGATTTGAAATATACTTTTCCAAAAAATTTTAATGCTAGATTACAAAGCTTCATTACCCCCAAAAAATTTCAAAATTACCCCCAGGAACTAGGTGTTCAATTTCAATTCTAAAAAGTGATAATGATGGTTAGAATTGAGCTCTGTCAACTTTAAACCCTGATAATCTGGTCTTTTATTTTCAGGTTGTGATCCAAGCACCATGGGATAATGGAACCAGAGGTATGGTTGGTCTGTCATAGTTTTTTTTTAAAGTTATTGAGATAAAAAAAACAAGGCTACTCCTAAAAGAGCAATCTTTGACAACACGAAATTATCCTGCAGTGAGCACCTTGTCTAATGCCTGAGCTATTCTGGTCTTTAATGGATACATTCAGACCTTCTGTTGGCTGTCTCATGTTTATGTCAGCTCCTCCATCTTGCACTAATCCAGTTTTCAGTGAGACGTCTGACTAAAATGCAGCGTTTTATGCTGTCACAATCGCAAAGGCCTTGATAAATCATACTTTGCAATTAGTGACTTCATAAAGCGCTTAGTTTTATTGAAATTGCAGGAACCACGGACAGCAAACTGTAAATTGGAATGGTGCAAATTGATGTTAACACTGTGCCTTATACACTGTTTTAAAACCCCTTTATAACTCCTTTAATTAATATATGTCTAATATATTTTTCAGTTGTTTTGTTTGATAAGAAGATCACAATAACAAGCGATAATTTTCAAGTGTCCAGTCTGAAAGATGACCGTGTGTTCATGTCTACTTCCAAGAAGTCATCCTACCCTTTAAAGAAAAGTCGAAATCTTCATGCAGCTGGCGTCCAGGCTGACATAGTGAGTATTAGCAATATTCAAAATGAAATCTCGCTCTTTGGCAAACTTTTTCGAACACTGAATGAAGAAAGAACTTATTAAACCGTTTTTACCTGGATAATAACTAAGGCTCATGAAAATCATTTCTACCAGCTGGTCCTTAGTCATACATCTTCGATGGATCCACTGAAATAATAGGGAAAGATGATTTATCCAAGTTCAACATACTGACCAATATTAGAACCCTTGAGTTACTATAAGATTGAGTTGATAATTTTTCTGTATCGACAGAGGCTTTGTTAAATTTTGATCAAAAAAATAGGCTAATGCTGCTTTCCTAGCAAAATTTCCTTCTTACCAGTATCATTTCTTGATACATGTATTTTGTCATTATTGTACACTGCATGTGTAGGCCGTCTTCCCAATCCAATACAGAAAATTTTGAAGAAATTTGACCAGTCCTTACATGTATTTTGTATCTTGTAGGTTCGAAGCGGAACAGAATATCCTGATTTAGACATCGAGTCTTATAACAGAATTCTTATATCAGGATCAGAGGGAGTAACAATTAACAGCCAACAAGGTTTGGTTTCCATGACAGCCAATCAGAACATCAAGCTGAATTCTACTGTAAGTAATAGACTGAGTATTAAAGGGATTCCAATGAGCTTTTCTGGCCTAATCTGCAATACTGTCTTATGTTTGAAGCTTCCAGTGGATGTTAACTTTGTCATCTTCCAACCATCCATTTTTGCCCATCGTATGTGTATCAGAGACACTTTCGCTTCTATTTACACCATTCTGATTTGCAATTCTGTGTGTGTATCAGAGACACTTTTAGCTTCTGTGGTTCCAGCAATTCATGAAAAATTGGCATTGAAGATAATGGTGCCATAAATCTTCAGAAAGCAAGGTCTTTGTTGAACCAGCTTGGTTTCTATTGTTTTTCTTTACAGGCTGGCTCTGTGAACTTTGAACCCATGAAACATTTCTACATGAGCAAGCAATTACCAATTTCATCTTCCAAATACGACCAAGTTCAGCTCAATTCTACCATCAGCCAATCAAATAGCTCAACAGATAACAGTTCCAGTCAATCAGATGCGTCCATACAGTTCAGCCAATCAGAACAAGCATATAAACTATGTTTTTGTATGTCAACTGGAAAGTTATTTGCAGTGAAAGTAACAGACTCTTTGATTGGTTGTAAAAATTTCCAATCAGATTTCAATCCATGTAGTTGAATATTTGAAAGTAACAGAGTTTTAGATTGGATGTAAATATATCCAATCAGATTTCAATCCTTGTATTGAATATTTGTTGTGTTATGTATATTGTTATTTACAAATTGTGGTTAAAAAAAATGATTGAATTGAGGAGTTCTCAATGCTTTGTGTTGTGGTTGAATATTTTTATAAAATATTGTTTTTTTTGTAGTATTAATTTTATATTTTTGTAAAATGATTTGTTGTTGTGTTATTAATTTTTTTGTTTTGTGAAATTTTTGTTATTGTAAGTGCACAGAAGATGCTGGAATTTGTCTCTAATAGTATACCCCCCTTGCAAATGCTGCAAGACTATTGTGAGCTAGTATATTTTTAAATTCTTGTAATAAATGGAATATGAAAGCAACAATAGATTCTTACCTTGCGTACTTGCTTTCATCTGAGCTCCAATCACTAGATGCATAAGAAGTTATATGACCGACAATGCCTCGTAGTGTGTCAAATCAGTTTGACACGTTGTAAATGAATCAATTATTCCAATGCATATTAGTCAAAGGAACAGATTCGCCATTCATTTGACCAAACGCACGTGAGATATGGGAATGTTTTAGCTAGGCTAATCAGTAATCGTGTTCACAGCTCACCGTCGAAATTTGAGCCTTCAAATCCATGTGCGTCCAGAGTTATCCGCGTTTGAAAGTTAAACAGTCTTTTCTTGAGACTCCGCCGTAAAAATCCTAGTTTGGGGAATTTTTTTGAAGGTATTAAGCGAGGGAATTATGACATTGACATACATTTCTAGTACTTCTGAAAGACTATTTACATATCTTCAAGACCCAAATCAACCCCCAAATCGCAGATCTGTCCCTTTTAGGACTTTCATCCGAGCACGCATGCATTATATTTACAAAGCTTAAATGGTCGTACAATGTCAAATCCGTTCGACACAATAGGAATGAATTAATTATTTCAATCTATACTATAATTAACATATATCTTGTGTGTCTTTCAAGGTGAAACGTTGATAATATTGATCGAAACTGTTAAAATAACCATCAATTTGTTTAGACTTTCACACCTGTTACTACCAGGCCTGCGTAGAGCCCACTTCCGGAATGTGCCTAAGTATATTATTATCATTAATACATGTTGTTATCCTTTAATCTCATTGTGTCGGATTAGAGTCAGAATGGGTTAGGCGCTTTAAATACCCACTTTAGCCTACGGTGTATATAAAACTTTGGTAGGCTAATAACTGTTTTTCAATTTGACCTCCGGAACAAAGGGCTTTCTAGCTGAGAGGGTAAGTTGTGGTATCCATAATCAATTTAATGCGATGGGGGTGGGGGGGGGGGGGGGGGTGGATTTGGTATTGTGTATCAGCTTCACCAAAAGAGGAATTGTAACTAAATACAATCTCCAAGTGCTCAGAAATATATGATTTTTTTGTTGATATTTCGAAGCCATTTTATATTTTTTAAATTAATGAATTGGAGAACAAACTCTTTATGATATACAATTATTTTGGTTATATCATTATATCACAACAAAAACAGTCCGATTTTTGTTAAATTCTAAAAATCATAGTGATATATCCATGACGACTATGATATAAGTATTTCAAAATATATCTGTAAATTGACTCACACTGCCACCCCCACTTTGATATTTACATATTGAATTAATATATTAATATATATCAAACGCGCCACCATGAAAGTTCCGCTTGGTCTATATGAAACGACACAGAGTTGCCGAATGTTACGACATATATTATATTCAATAAGGGAGTGACAGACCATTCTGATATGGAAATCGCGTCTTGAAGAGTTAAAACTTAGAACTGTACGACAATTTTTGAAGGTGCGTGTGGATTATATTTGCCCACAGATATATTTGCCACACAATATTCCACTACCATCAAGTACCGTTGATGTTCTTTTTCCCGAAAAAACCCAGTGTTTTTGAAAGTGAAAAAGAAATCGAAGCGGTCTCTAAAATTTGTGACCTACGCCAGTGCCTCCTCAGTGGCAGAGTCAAAGCCACCCCCCCTCTCTTGCAAGTTTTTCGGGCACGACTCTCATAACTAGGTTAAAACTTCGGGGAACCCTCTCACCCCCTCCCCCCCCCTCTCCCCCTGACGTCAACCTGGCTCCGCCACTGGTTCTCCTGCTTTTGGTGCCCTCAAATCGAACAAATCCAGTAATAAATCAGATTCTCCTTGTTGCTAATTCTCCACCAGTTGGGAGTGATCCTTGAAATGAGCGTTGCTCAAATTTCTCAAATATGCCACTAGTCGCTGAATACCGTACTCTCAGATTTCATAGTTCCAAGGTCGACTTGTGCCCATACGTGGGCATTACATTGGTCAATGTAGAGACAACAAAACCGTAACAACAGATGTGTGTGATGCATATCTATAATAGAATAGTCACTGAAACAAAAAAACTACACAATTCTATTATAACTATGAAATACTATGTGTATTTATCTTATATTTCTGCGTTAGACACATCAACTACGGTTGACTGAAAACAGTGACAAGACCAAGGTTTGACCAGGTAAGATAAAAAGCTAACATGTTTTTACTGCACAGAAGGTTATGACTGATGCAGAAGGTGTATTTTGTCCCTTTTTGCACGAGAAGGTCAAGGGTCAGAGTGTATGTCCTTCAGAGTGTATAAGTTAATATTAATTACGATATAAAAACCACACACAATAAATTAATGACAACGATAATAATTTAATTTCTTTTCCCATGAAATAAAAAATATTTCTCACTCAAGGAGATTCATAAGGCGTTTTTGATTTTTTTGAGTCTGATCTAAAAGTAGCTGATTATTTATTTCATCTTTTGTTATTCTCATAAACTCTCACAAATAACGCAAATTGTCTGCAAGTATTTTAATCGCGCATATTTTGAAGCAACTTCACCTAAATCATCCGTCCCCTCCCCACACATCAGTGGCTCAACTAAATAAGTGGGGGCCGCGGACTTCAGTGTGTTCTTTTTTTATCATATGCTTTCCTGTATTTTTTGTGGCAGTTGGGAACTCTTTAGGGGCCCGTGGACTTGGTTCAACCACTTCCTGTGGTAGTTGAGTCACTGTATTTTTTTTTCTGGGGTGGGGGCCCCCTTGGGTGTGAGGGCCTGTGGACTTGGTTCAACCAGTTTTTATGGCAGCTGAGTCACTGCAACTCATCGGTTCTGTTTTTTTTTTGCCATTTTCAGTTTCTCCATTTTGAATCACTGATGAAATTGAAAATCAAGGCATGAGGCACGACAAATCTAAGATCACGTACAAGATGTCATTAGGCAAAGCTGAAGGCATTTGACAACACCCACGCTTATGATATTGTCAGCTTGAGTCAGAATAAGCCCTCCGTTCCTGACATGTACTGCAAACAACTTATCAAAATAAGACGTCTTGTGATTAAATAGCTTCAAAAATCTCATCAGTGTTGAAAGTGAATCAAATTGGATCTAAAATAAGAAATAAGACTTGACTGAAACTGTCAAATATAATGCCCTTTGCCATAAATACCTCATGGATTTTTACAGGATTTATTTATATTTTTATGACCCATTTTCACATACGAACTAATGTGACTTATATTCCCCAAAACTAAAATCAAATTTGAATTTCTCACTTTTGCAATTTTTTTTAATTTGGAACGAAGGGTGCGTGTTGTTAAAGTACTTGCTAAGAGGGGGTTTTAAATATTTTAAACAAGTGCAGAGAGCAATTGATATTATGCAGTTCATCTTTTATGAGGCATGTTTTTAAACAAAACGTTTTTGTGGTCAATTAAGACTTATAGTAATAAACATAGGCAAATAGCGTCTCCTTGGGTATATTTTTCAACATAACTTAGTTTGTCATTGTCATTTGTGACTAACGATAAAAATCAAGGGTACATAACATCTCCTTGCTACACACCACAATCAAAAACAAAATTTTGGAAACATTTAATGTATGAATTTTTTTCATAATTCTGGGGTATGTTTTCAAAATAAATTATATTTTTTCAATGTCATTTGTGACTAACGATAAAAAACAAGGGGACATAACGTCTCCTTGCTACACACCACAATCAAATAACTGTCAAAATTTATGTCGGTTTAACCTTGATTGAAACAGTTGAATTTTTTAAGATACTTTTGTTGTGAATATTTTTATCAGACGTTTATATACATATCTCTGACATATCATTTTTATGAATTATATGTTTTGAAAATAGTCAACTTTATATGTTCATTAACCAGAATTATTTTTTATCGATCCAAGCTTATATTATGCTGTTCAGTTGAACTTTTCTTAGCATACATTTTCTCCATAAGATTTTTTTCATACTTTAATTGATATATCTTTTCAACGGTGGAAAAAGTATTGCACAAGATTTGTCTTATAAGCTTTGAGTTCTAAGCCAGAAGTTGCATTCCAAAAAAACGACAGTGATTAGATAAAAGTTAGATTTCATGTTCGGAGTAAATCTTATAAATTCCATATTTGTCATACGATATTACACTATTTCAAGTTATATCGACTAAATAATCCTAATGCATATTCAGAAAATCCACTACATCATTCATCACTGTGCATTCTCTTCATTTTATTGCATTCCGAGAGCTGTGAAAGTTTGCACGTAGACGTATACACCAAACTATCCCTTCCAAAATATTCGCACGTCATCAATTGTAGGCCATTTCGGGGATGAATAATGTGCTGTCTTCACTGTCCTGGCTTTTTTTATGTTTCTGATTTTTATGTTTGTATTATTACTGTATAGTGATGGTAAAATTACTATAAAACACGTTGCCAGTCGTCAAGAACCAGTTTCCGGTCATCCATCTTCTTCTCGTTGGTGAAAATATTTTATTTATATAATAACATTTCCTTATTGTCAAATTACTGTGGACTGTACAAACAGAATTCTATGTCCTACTTTTCAGCATCGGATATTACATTAAAATTTCGTATCTTTTTCGTAACATTTTCTAATATTTTAGTCTACCTCGAAATCTAAATATATTTCTACCAAAAGTCTGTCCTAAAGGTAGTATTTTCAACCAATCAAATTGTAATCTAATTTGAATTAGATTGGGACTCGTGAAGAAGAGCAACATTAATTCAATGCGAAATTATGATCATTGTAAATAAACGCAGCTGAATTCATTTCCAATTCAACTGAAATCCGAATGAAATTCCATTTCAACTTCTTCGCTTCTTACGCACTGTAGATATATATGGATTTTTTGTTCCTGTGCATCTTGAATGTTGCAATCATGAACTCCACCATCGTGGTTTTAGTGCACATGGGCCTTGTTACCAGCGAAAAAATGTTAGCTTTGTAGAAAAAGATTGTCAAACCCAAGGACTATTTTTGTTTGACAATATCATAT